GTATTTTACTGAATTTGATAATAAACCTGGAACAATACCTAAGGTGAGGTTAAAATTTAATTCGAATAAATTTATAGGTAGGGTTATACGTCAAATATGGAATCTTTTTGACCCATGTAAAAAAAAAATAATTTAGGGTATAAATTATCCTATACCAAGTTATAATGTTAGACAAATGTGTAGATAATTTAATTTTAAACAAATTTGTCTAATATACTTTTTGTATTAGGAAAATATTTTGTGAATTAATGTGATTAATTTTGTGAATAAATGTCCGACTCGTCGATTATACATATTTTGTATTAGAGAATGTTTGTCATTTTCTGAGTTAAATTTTGAGTATACCGAGTTGCTGTAGGGTCTTACATTGTTAGACAAATTTATAAATTATTAATTTTTCTAAAAATTTGTCGAATACATTATTTATATTAGGCAAATATTTTAAAAGTTACAAATAAATTCACTGCCATAAGTATTTACTTACTTATAGAAAAATTTAATTATTATGACATGAAATATTTATTATTATTGATTATGAATAAATTAAAATTTTTACCAGGCGTTATAGATAAATTTAATATTTTTATTATATAATTTTGTATTTTTTTGATATAAAAATTATTAAACTTGAAGTAACTCGTAATATAATACAGACTATTTTATCTCAATAAACAAAGTATTAACTTCTTAATTTTAATCTCAGATAAGATTTTAGAAAAAAAACAGGTTTTATTACTTTAGCAATAAATTAAAACCGTGACAATCAAAAATAATTGATCGAATTAAATTGATTGATTATAAAATTTTAGTTCTACATCAGTACTGATGTAACGGACACATCTTTAATTTTTATTAAAAATTTTTGAACAAAAATAATATTTAAGGGATGTGTAGTAGTGTATAATAAACTACATGGATGTTATTAATTTTTAATATTTTTTTAAAAATTTTTGTGGTATAAAAAGTGTCCTAAAAATGGTTTCAAAAGTGACTTTGCTGTTAGGTTTTTTGGTAGTCGGTTTGGCTATATCGACAATTACTTTGTCGGTTTTGTATTCTGATGAAATTAATAATGATGATGATGAAAGTACTGTTAAACCGACAGATGAACCTACAGATAAACCGACTGATAAACCTACAGATAAACCTACAGATAAACCGACAGATAAACCTACAGATAAACCGACAGATAAACCGACAAATAAACCTACAGATAAACCTACAGATAAACCTACAGATAAACCTACAGATAAACCTACAGATAAACCTACAGATAAACCTACAGATAAACCTACAGATAAACCGACTGATAAACCGACTGATAACCCGACTACGACAAATGAACCGATACAAACCACAGAAGATCCTGGTACTGGGGTAGTAAGTAATTTTAAACTTACCACTTTTCAACTGCGATTTTAAAGTATACCGAGTTGCTGTAGGGTCTTATGATGTTAGAAAATATTTTAGATTATTCAATTTTAAACAATTTTCCAGAATGTTATATTTATATTAAACGAGTATTTTGAAAGTTACAAGATTTATAATAAATAAATGCACGAATGGATTGTGTGGAAGAAGAGTGCTAAACGTCTAACATTGTTTCGTTAAATTATTTATAACTTTTAAACTATTTGTAGTACATCAATAGTATATTCGGCAAATTTGAAGTAAATTAAATAATCTACAATATTTTCTAACATTATATTGACCTAGAGCAACTCGGTATATTTTTAAATAATAGGTTGTCAAATAGCTCCCTTCCGCCTTTTTGTATTATAAACCAAGAGCAAAAAAGCGGAAGGGAGATATTTGACAACCATCCAACCAATTATTGAACATTGCAAAATTGTTAAGATATAATATTTATTTAGTACAAGTAAATTAAATAATCTACAATATTTTCTAACATCGTAATAAATAAAGCACTTTTTTTAAAACGATTTTACGTATATTCAAACGATTTAACCCGTTTTTAGCAGGATTTTACACGCTTTAGCACACTTTAGCACACTTTAACATGCTTTAGCACGTTTTTTTACATTATAACACGCTTTTGCACACTTTAACACACTTTAATACGTTTTTTCTCACACGTTAACACGTTATGCACTCTTTTATACTATTTTATTACGATTTTTTATCTTTGATACAGTTAACAGGAATTTTACTCATTTTTGCACGTTTTAGCACACTTTAACACGCTTCAGCACGTTTTTCTACATTTTAACACGCTTTTTCTCACACGTCAACACGGTTTTGCACTCTTTTATACTATTTTATTACGATTTTTTATGCTTTGATACAATTTAATACACTTTGATACAGTTAACAGGAATTTCACACTTCAACACACTTTAACACGTTTCTTCTCACACGTTACACGTTATGCACTCTTTTATACTATTTTATACTCTTTTTTACACTTTAACACGCTTTAGCACGTTTATTTTCATTTTAACACGCTTTTGCACACTTTAACACACTTTAACACGTTTTTTCACAAGTTAACACGGTTTTGCACTCTTTTGTACTGTTTTGTTATGAGATTTTATGCTTTGATACAATTTAATACACTTTGATACAGTTTTATACATTTTTTTTTACACTTTTCGTTAAATTATTTATAACTTTTAAACTATTTTTACTACGTCAACAGTATATTCAGCAAATTTGTAGTAAATTAAATAATCTACAATATTGTCTAACATTATATAAACCTAGAGCAAGCAACTCGGTATAATTTTAAATAATTTTTGAAAATGAAATTGTATTTTACGTTAGCTAATAACATACATTTCTAAATATGTTCCTTATAAATTTGAAACCATTTGATTATTATGAATGAGGTTAATTAAAATTCAAAATAAAATTTGGATTTTAAGCTAAAAAATAAAACTAAATAATAAATAATTCAATATATAATATAGGTCTGGATATTAGTACAATTTTTTTTTTTTTAACTTCCCGTAGGGTAAGTTATTGTAATGGGCCGAAAATCGGAATTGAAAATTTTTACATTTCTCGACGTTTTGAAGGTTTCTGAACGTTTTGGCATACCTCAGAAAAAATGGATGTGTGTGTGTGTGTGTGTGTGTGTGTGTGTGTGTGTGTGTATGTGTGGATACAAATTTCCAGTCACGTTTTAGGGCGCACGGATCAACCGATTCGAATGGTTCAAAAAACATCCGATTTCTATTGATAGGGAAAAGAGCTGATTAGTTTTCGGCAAAGGCAGGTCCAGCCGTTTCGGAGATACGGAGCAAAGAGTGCAGAAAATAGAAATTGAATTTTTGAGAGAACGGAGTATCCGATTTTAATGATCTAAAAAACATTCAATTAGCAATGATTGGGAGAAGTGTTTATTAGTTTTTGGCAAAGGCAGGCCCAGCCATTTTGAAGATACGGAGCTAAATATGTAAAAAATGGCAGTTTTTGAGAGAACTAAGCATCCGATTTAAATGATTCAAAGAACTTTCTGCTTGTCTTAACAAAATAATCGATTTTGGAAAAAAAAATTGTCCAATTTTTTTTTTTTTTTTTTTTTTTAGTTTTTTGTATATCGAAAATATTAATTTTTAATTCTGACTATAGTTCTAATATACTTTACAAATAATTTCAACTCTGCAATTCAGTTTATATAATATTTATAAATATTAGACAATGTTACAATATTTATAATAATCTGTTTGAAAACATTCAGTAATCCTCGAACACTTCGTTACGGTACGGGAAGTTCCAGCAATTTGCCTTAAGGCACGATGCCACCCACCCCACTAGTTAACTTCCCGTAGGGCAAGTTATAGTAATCGCAAAAAAATCGAAAATGAAATTTTTTATATATCTTTACGTTTCAAAGGTTTCTGAACATTTTGGCATACCTTAGAAAAAATGGATGTATGTGTGTGTGTGTGTGTGTGTGTGTGTGTGTGTATGTGTGTGTGTATGTGTGTGTGTATGTGTGTGTGTATGTATGTATGTGTGTGTATGTATGTGCGGATACAAATTTTCGTCGACGATTTCGGGAACACGGATCAACCGATTTGAATAATTCAAAAAACATTCGATTCGTATTGATAAGGAGACGTGCTGATTAGTTTTTGGCGAAGGCAGGTCTAGCCGTTCCGAAGATACGGGGCAAAAAGTGCCGAAAACGGTAACTCAGTTTTTAAGAGAACGGAGCGTCCGATTTGAATAATTCAAAAAACGTTTCACTTGTATTGACAAGATGAAGAATCGATAAAATTTTCATGAAGGTAGGTCTAGCGGTTTCGGAGATATGGAGGAAAAAGTAAAAAAATGAGCCATTTGGCGGTCAAAAATGATCATTAGACATATGCACATCAAATTATCAGATATTTTATAGAGATTTTAACAATAAGTATACATTTTGTTAACATTCCTATGGGTTCCGTACCAATGCTTATGCGTTAGACAGCGACGCGGCACTTACGCGCTTTATATTTTGTCCCTATGCAGTTAAAACAGTACGATTGCTTTGAAAAAAGTTCAGATCTTCCACAATATGTTAAATAAAAAAAGAAAATTTTTTTTCAAAAAAAAAAAACAAAAAAAAAAATTAAAAAAAAATTTTTTTTTTAAAAAAAATTTTTTTTTCAAAAAAAGTAATTTTTGGCCAATTTATAGTTTCTCAAAAATCTTATTTTTTTCAAAGTAATTTTTTTTTCAAAAATGTTAATCGTTTTTAAAAAAATAATAATTTTTGGTACGGGAAGTTCCAGCAATTTGCCTTAAGGCACGATGCCTTAATTGCCTTAAGACAGAATTCCACTTACAGCTAGTTTTATTTTATTTGGCCTCCAATAACAATACAGCCACATACAATATTATCTTAACAAACAAAAATTATATTAGTAAAAATATTAAACCAAGACTTTAGCTTATTATTTATTATTTTAAAAATAAATTGTATACATTTTTTGTTCATTTTATTTATTTTTATTGTACTAAAAATTTATATTTTTTTTTATTTTTTTCAGATTGATTACAGGCTTCCAGAAGGAGTAAAACCTGTTCATTACGACCTGCTCCTGACTCCTGATTTAAAAACTGGTAAATTTTCTGGACATGTCGGAATTGATGTCCAGGTCAAGGCCAAAAGGAACGATTTGGTCCTTCATGGAAAAGACTTAAGGGTAATAATAAAATTTTATCTAACTCATAGTAACACACCTAAATCCATCAACTTTCTGGTGCTAAAATTTCCAATAACTTATGAAAACTGATACAAGTACATTTTTTCGTTGAATTATTTATAACTTTTAAACTATTTGCAGTACATCAACAGTATATTTGGAAAATTTGAAGTAAATTAAATAATCTACAATATTTTATAACATCGTAGTAAATAAAGCACTTTTTTTTAAAACGATTTTACGTATATTCAAACGATTTAACCGTTTTTAGCAGGATTTTACACGCTTTAGCACACTTTAGCACGTTTTAGCATGTTTTGTTATATTTTAACACGCTTTTGCACACTTTAACACACTTTAACACGTTTTTTCTCACACGTTAACACGCTTTTGCACACTTTAACACGTTTTTTCTCACACGTTAAACCGATTTTGCACTCTTTTATACTATTTTATTACGATTTTTTATGCTTTGATGCAGTAATAAATAAAGCATTTTTTTAAAACCCGTTTTTAGCAGGATTTTACACGCTTTAGCACGATTTTACACGCTTTAACAGGAATTTTACTCATTTTAGCACGCTTTAGCACACTAAGCAGGTTTTTTTACATCTTAACACGATTTAGCACGTTTTTTTACATTTTATCAAGCTTTAGCACGTTTTTTTACATTTTATCACGCTTCAGCACGTTTTTTTTTACATTTTAACACGCTTTTTCACACTTTAACACGCTTCTACTTACACTTTAACATGTTAACACGATTTTGCACTTTTTTATACTATTTTATTACGATTCTTTATGCTTTGATACAATTTAATACACTTTGATACAGTTTTATACACTTTTTTGTACACTTTCCGTTAAATTATTCATAACTTTTAACTATTCGAAGTACATCAACAGTATATTTGGCAAATTGAAGTAAATTAAATAATCTACAATATTGTCTAACATTATAAAGCCCTACAGCAACTCGGTATATTTATAAATAATTATTAAACATTGCAAAATTGATTCCATTTATTCTTTATCCTTTATATTTTTTTCCAGATTTCCTCATTTCGAGTTTTAGATTCCAAAGGCGACGAGTTGCCATTGGCGTCCAAAAACATGGAAATGGATTCAGTAAGGGACTTCTACATAATTCGGGCCAAAAATGGATTTTCTTCAGGAAATTATAAGGTGGAAATCGACTACGAAGGTTCTTTGACTGATAGAATCACTGGATTTTACCAGAGCACTTATACTGACGAGCACGGAGACAAAAGGTTGGTAATAAATTTTGGCTATATATAATATATAAAAAATTGCTTAATCAAAAATTTTATACACTCATTTTGTGTATAAAATTTAGGTGAAATGTATTTACACAACGTAACGGTATTTAAATATTACAAATGTTTAGTCTTCGCATTATCACCTTATCAAATTTATGGCGCCGGGTCATTTTGTACCTAGAAAGTCATAAAATTGTCTTAGACGAAATCTTGGTATTAGTAAAAACTTTGAAGCAAATGTCTCTGGAAGGATATATATATATATATATATATATATATATAATTTTGTCTCATCTTCTCATCTCTTGGATGGTTCACCTGAGGTCAAGGTACAAACAAAACTCTTGCATATTGTCTTAAGGGGGGGTCATAGCATCTGTATGTATTGTGTTTGTGATTGTAGGTCTTCACTTGCATTATTAACACGCCAATGGAACAGACAACTAACTATTTTTCTTGCTCTTACACACAGAGAGTTGTCTATACTACCTTTGATAGTGGGAGAGCTGAAGGAAAGAAAGTAGTAATAGATTAAATTAAAATGAGTTATATAAATTGTCTAGGTTTCTTGAATTATTATTTAGTTATGTTGAGTGTTTAAATAATTCTATACGTTTTTATAAATTTTGTATATTTTCATACAATTTTATCTACTTTTTAACTTTTACTTAGCTAAAGAAAAAAATAGTAATAGATTAAATTAAAATGAGTTATATAAATTGTCTAGGTTTCTTGAATTATTATTTAGTTATGTTGAGTGTGGAAACAATTTTATACATTTTTACAAATATTCGAATATTTCCGCACATTTCCACTCTATATATATACTAGATGACCCGACAGACGTTGTCCTGTACCCACATCTACATTTTTTAACATCTTATACTAATATTTACCGTTCAGTTAAAAATAATAATGATTGTTTTTCGAATTTCCATTTACACTAATATATGAGTGATGTTAAATGTAGAACTGCTTCAAATAAAATGATGATTCTCAATTCCCACAGTAAACACTCTTAGGGGGCGTCCATTAATCACATGATCGACTTTTTAAGGATTTTTGGATTCCCCTCCCCCTTGGTGATACGTGGTGATATTCAAAATTAACCCCCTCCCTCCCCCTACAAACCTCATGTGTATTTTTCGATACAGGAAAAAATGGTAAAATTTTTGATTTTTTTTTTTTGTAAATGTTTGGATTTTTTTTTTTAAAAAATCAGATAAAACATAAATATACGTGATATCTTACTAAACCCCTCCATCCCTACGTGATATTTTGTGATTTTTTTTATCAAATTTTTTCGTATACATTTATTACACACTTCTGTACTCTTTTCTGTACACACTTACACACTTTTAAACGCTAGTACACATTTCTTACACCTCTGTACAATTTTTATATACATTCACACATTTTCGTAGATTTTCAAACAAACACTTTTACTTACATTTAAACACTTCAATTTTGTAAGACTATTACAGTTTTTAATAACAAAATTAATTGTTACAATAAAAAGTATAATTTTACACTTTTGCACACTTTACCACATTTATTTTCACATATTTTACACACTTTACCAAACATTATTCACACTTTTACACATTTTACTACACTTTTTACATACTTTCACACAGTTTCACACACGTTTGTACATTTTTTAACACCTTAGTACACTTTTGTATACCTTTTTTACACACTTATGCACACTTTTTTACACACTTTAGTAGGCTGAAATTTTACACTTTAGCACACTTTACCAAATTTTTTTCACACTTTTACACACTTTATGTATTTTTACACACTTTTGTACACTTTTTATACACACATTTGTATACTTTTTTACACACTTTTGTATACTTTTTTTACACATTTCTGTACACTTTTTTACACACTTTTGTATATTTTGTTACACACTTTTGTACACTTTTACACACCTTTTTTACACACTTTATGCATTTTTACACACTTTTGTAAACTTTTTTTTACCCTTTTGTACATTTTTTATATACGTGCACACATTTTGAAACGAACACTTTTACTCACATTTAAACATTTAAATTTTGTAAGACTACTACAGTTTTGATTAACAAAATTAATTGTTACAAAAAAAATTAACACAGTTCACATATTTTTATGGAATGTTTATTTGATTCATTTTGATAAATTTATTATTATTTATTAATTTATTTGATTTTACTCACAAATTTGGATTTTGTTAAATAAAAATTATCTGTTAAACTTAGTTCAATTAGTAATATTTACGTCCTTAATATTTTCTTTAGTATTTTTACCCCAGCCGTCGGTCTAACTCGTTCCCAGCAAAGTTGTTTTCTTATTGGAAGTTCGCGTCAGTCTCACGTTGGATTTTTATTCGAACGGACGCGTTCTTTTTAGTTAATTTATTAATTTTAAAATAGTTTTAAACACAATTTTTATATTTTAAAATTACAGTTTAATTTTGTAAGCTTTATTTTAAAATGTGACGAAAAAAAATTGGGAAAAACGTTATTTGTTGAGGAAATATTTGATACTGAAGTGAAAAAAAAGGAAAAAAGTGATTTGTGGATGGTTTTATTGTTTTTAATATAATAAGTGTGTAAAATATTTGTTTTTATGAAATTTTTGTGTTTAAATCAAGTCGTGCACTGAGGGTTCTGTACCAACAATCCTTATTTTCGTATAATTTTTGTGGCAAAATTGTTTTATAGGATTTAGTAAGGATAATTAGTATTCTAGGTACTAAATTATTTTTTCAGACAAATCGTTATACAACTAATTATATATTATCGTTTGTATATTATTATTTCTAGTGAAAACCTGTACTTAGGCAAAACTTTCCAATATTTCGGAACGACTAAAATAAAAATTTCTAATTTTTTTTTGCTTTGTCAGAACCTTTACGTAATTTCCGATCGATAATTTATTTATCGATAGAATAATTATTT